AAAAAAAAAAAAAAAAGGTACTTTTACAATTCAAATATGAAATATGAGATTCAAGTAAATCACATTGAATAATAATAATGTACTTTATCCTTGGGAATAAAAAAGGGATATATATTAAAAGCAGACAATCTAAAGAGAGACTCTAGATAAAAAAAACTAAAATAGGTTTATCTCAGAAGGCACTCAGTTTGAAGCAAGAATAAAAAACAGAATTGGCTGATAGCAAACCAAATACAAGATTATTTAAAAGAATGATTAAAAATTCTACCTTATTTGTTGTATAGCTGTCCCAAATAATTAATTTTCCATCTTGGGAAGCACTGACTAGGAGCCTGGAGGAACAAACACACAAAAAATTTGATACTTACAATTTCCAAGAAAAAAAAAGAGTTTAAGTTAGTTATATATTACATTAATGTAAGACAGTTTAGAAAACAAAAATACAATTTTTCTAACAGAAACTCGATACTAAAAATATTCTTCCAATTTAAAAAAATGTACACTGTGTACCATAAATTTTGAGCATAAACCATAAACTTAGCAACTCCCTAAACATGTCTTTGGTTATGACTCAATTTCTCCATGGTGACAACATTGCAGCTATTATTCAAGGCTTTGGTAGATCTTAGCTGATTGGTGTAGTGTATACAATCTACTTAATGACAACAGAGAACATACAGGCCTACAGCCATACTTCATCAACTGAGAGCCTCTGGCCCCTGGGAAGCAGTGTGACAGGAATGCAAGGCACACCTACCTCATGCTCGCATGGCCTCTACCATCTAATAGATGAGACATTCAAGTATCCTTATAATAAAGCAAGTGAAAATTGCCAAAAGACTAGTATAAAAGAAATAGTGCAGGAGAGTAAAAGAGGAATGAATAACTGAGTTGAATTAATTAAAAAATGCATCTTGGGGCCAGGGATTTAGCTCAGTGGTTTCATCGCCCGCTGTGTAAGCACAAGGACCCGAGTTTGATCCCTGGTACCAAAAAAAAAAAAAAAAAATGCATCTTGAAAACAATGCATTTTGGAGAGCTAAAGACAGATAAGTCTGTATTCTCAAAGGAGGGTAAGTACCACTGATGACAAGAGGTAGGAAAATACAGTGGGTGTTCCAGGAATTGGGAGTCTTTCAGTTGTGTAGAGTTTGTGAGGAACAGGAGGAATATGTTGAGAAAATATCAGACAGATCAAACTGCACAAAGTTCTATTTGCCAGGCTAAGGAGTATGAATTTTTAAGTAATTACTAGTCAATAAAATTTGTTCTGGAATTTTGTTTTTCACCATGACGTAAAATTCAAAAGACACAAAAGGATCTACAGTGAAAAAAACACCTTGATATGCCTACTCCTCAGCTTCTTAGTTCCCTTCCCTAAAGATAAATAAAAACATAGGTTATTAGTGTTATAGACTTCACTTGTTTTTATCAAAAGGAAAAGCTAATGGTAGAATACGGGATAGAATCTAAGGACAATGTTTCAAAATTCAACTGGCATCATCAGTACATGAGATTATTAAGTAAGGAGTTGATAATCAGACAATGTGAAATAGGTTCCTGGGTGATTGTCTTGTTTTTGAGAAAATTTTCTAAAAGCAAAGAACTAACAGTTTCAAGTGATTGGGTTTGCTGTATCAACAAAACAAATTATCTTTATCTTAAAAATTTTTAAGAAAAATGTAACTTTGCCCTACCTTTATGTCATCAATTATATAATTTTATCTATCTTCTTCTAAGAGTTACATGCTGTATATTGATATATTCAACTATCCCATTTATATCACAGAACATTAAGTAAGGGAGGCTTCCTCTATTTAAAATCTTAGTGTCTCCTGGAAGCAGATAATGAACTATTTTTTTTTCCAGTGGTACTGTGTCGGGAGCAATGCTACATAATTTTAGGGAAAAATCATTTGGTTAGCCTAGTTCTCTTGCCTACAGCCCAGCTATGGAATTCCAAGACATAATTCCATTTTGGCCTCCGGTCACAACTAAGACCTCAATGATCCGGTGATGCTGTGATTCTCCAGGACAAGAAACATCCCGGGAGCTGAAAACATCCTGGGAGGAACAAACATCTACTCAGTTCCTCATTGTTCTTGGACTGTTACCATCTTATTTACGCAGGATGTACTGAACTCTGTGCGAGTCATTTGTTACATGTTTCTCCTGATGTACTGAATAAAAGTTGCAGTAAGCTACTGGCTTTCGTCTTTGCTGCCCAGAGCAGCACTGATCAGACCCAAAGCTCAGCTTCTTCTCAGTTTCATTTTTCTACCTTTCCTGTAATTCGCCTTGTGCTGCCGTGGCTCAAAGCAGACTAGGACTTACTGCAGAGGTGCTAGTAATGTCCCCTTTCCCTGTTCCCTACAGTACTGAGGATTGATTTCGTTGGCTTGGACATTATCCAATAAGATAACCAAATGAAAGGAACAAGTCAGCCACTGTGGCAGCAGGCAGACCTGCTAACGCCAAACACACCGGAAAAAGCACAGGTTGCACTGCCACCCTAGAGACAAAGTGAATTGTGGTCACCAAACCACCTAAACCGCAAGCCAGGTAGGTATGAGCCAGCTGTGTGCATATGCACTTTCGGATGCTGATACCACACATTCAGGCACTTGCATTTATAGATTGCACTGGGGGAGTAAAAGATATATTCAATGCAAATAACCTGTTTCACATAATCTAACCTTTGTGAATTTAGGAAAGAAACAGCAATATTCACTAACTAGCACACAGAAGATGTTCAATAAATATTTGTATATTAATTGAAATTTCAAGGTTATTAATATTTCAACTGCTGTGGGTATATTGAAAAACAAAGCATAATATCCCATTGCAAAGAAATGAAATCCTCTCCTAAACTGCTTTTCAGATCATTTGATAAAGGATTTTTTTAGAGGTAAAAGTTTTTAAACTTTCAGGGAGGGGTAGAGCACTTGCTTAGCAAGCACGACTCCCAGTTTGATCCCCAGAGATCCCCCACTTCAAAGAAAGAGCTTCAGTATTCTCAGTGAAAGCAAAATGTTCACATTGGATGCATGTTCTACAAACACTTCATAGTATAGTTGTAAAATAAAAGAAATAATGATTAAGAAAAAATAATTCTGGTGACAGTTTGTAAATGAGAGGCACAAACCTTGAGTCATATCCCCAGTGCATGGCATAGATTTTGGCGAGGTGGCCCCTCAGCGTACGTCTTGTTCGCATCTGTATTCGACCCACAGAGTCCATATTTGATGTGATCTTTGTAAGGCAACAAAAATATTATTCTTTACTTTCAATATAATTTATGAGTTTATTTCAACTAGAAACAATTAGTAGATAAAAGACATAAAATTTATAGTAACGAGATAATTTAATATATAATTCCACAGAATTATGGGATCAAAATATTGCTCATGAAAAACTATGTTTAATTTAAAATAATCCTAGATGCTATCACAGGTAAGAATATTTTGTCAGACTATTAACTAAAAAGAGTAGATATACCTCTTTAGAAACCAACCACACTAGAGGCTAGCATGGGTAAAGGAGACCAAGGGAGACTGAGTAGTGGTTACAGATAAATAGATTCTATGGCACAGTAGGGCAACCATGGTTTACAACAACCTACTGTATTTTATAAAGAATTAACAGACAGGAGTTCAAAGCTTCCCAACAAAAATAAATGAGAGGGAAAAGCTAATTATCCTGATTTGATCTTCACACAAGATATATATAAAATTATCACACTGTACTAACAAATATGTACAATTATGTGTCAATTAAGAAAAAGAAAAAAGCCACAAATAAAAATCTAGTATACATGATCAAAGAACATTTATACATTTTGTGTATAAGAAAGCCTGCTTCAGGGCCAGGGATTTAGCTCAGTGGTTCTGCCGCCTGCCTCACAAGCCAAGAACCTGAGTTGCATCTCCAGTTCCAAGAAAAGAAAAAAGAAAAAGAAAGCCTGCTTCATATGTATATAGCACATAAAATATTTCCTTAACAAAAGTGATCAATATTAACTGAAGTAACAAAATCTTCCTAAGAGTTCCCATAAGAAAAACTAATGGCAATATACCAAAAGGAATAAAAAATACTTAAAACAAGTACAAACTAGATGAATCTACATATTTTTATAGCATTTATTTTTTCCACAGGGTTCTATTTTAAGAGTGTGTTTGTATACACACACACACACACATTTTTTTTGTGACAGGGTCTCACTATGTAGTTCAGGTTGGCCTTGAACTTGCTGAGATTCTCATCTCAGTATTTTTAGTGCTGTGACCACAGATGTGTGCCAATGCACCTGGCTTAACAGTGTATTTTAAAAACCTTGCAAGTGCAAGGTCCTGAGCTCGATCCCTGGTACCAACAAAACAAAACAATAAAACAAACAAGAACACATGTACTGTATAAATTACAAAGTATTTTTTTAAATTACAAAGTATTTTACGTAAAGATTTCATTTGATTTTTCAATTAAATACTAATAAAATAATCTGAATGTCATCTGTGTCAGTGTCAATTTATTTCATGGGAATTATTAAAATGAATTGAAGGAAAAAAAACTTTACCTGAACAAGTGTTGCATCATTACATGCTTTCCTAGCATCCTGAAATAAAGAAAGAGGATTATTACATATGATTAAAATGATACGTTTTTTTGAGACAAGGTTTCACTATGTAGTTCATACTGGCTTTGAACTCATTATGTACCCCAGGCTGGCCTTGAACTTGCTCCTATTCTCCTGCCTCAGCCTCCCAAGTGCTAGAATTACAGGTGTGTACCATATGACTCTAAAATTTTTTTTAAAATTCACACTTTAATGATTTTAAGGTATATAATTCAGTGATTTTTAGTATATTCACAATGTTGTACAACACCATCACTATCCAATTCTAAAACATTCCCATCATCTGCAAAGACAGCCTTTCATCCTGATTCCCTTTCCTACCATTCCAAAGCAAACACTAATTTATTTTCTTTTTCTGTGGATTTCCGTACTCTTGGGAATTTCATATAAATGGAATCATACAATATGTAGCCTATGCATCTGGTCTCTTTCACTTAGCATTATGTTCAGGATTTAGCCATGTTATACCATTAACTAGCACCTCATTCCTCATGGCTGAAGAGTATTCCATGGTATGTGTATACCATATTTTGTTTATCTTATTAATCAAAAGTGGTGGGTACAGGTTTCCATTTTGTGGTTATTACTAATAATGATGCTATGAACATTAATATGTAAGTTTTCATGTGTACTTAGGTTTTTAATTTGTTGGGATATTACTGAAGAGGGTGACACAGTAACTCTATCAAACTTTTTTTTTACCAGCTGCAACCATTTCCCATTCCCACCAACAATGTATTAGGGCTCCAATTTCTCAATTTCTTCATATCCACATCAACATTTTTTATGGTCTATTTTTAAAATTAGCCGTCTCAGCAGGTGTGAAATGGTTATCTCATTGTGGTTTTGATTTTTTCTCTAATGATTAATGGTGTTAAGAATCTTTACATGGATTCACTGCTACACTGATATTATATAATATAGATATTATATATAATCTATTTTAGAAAATGTCTATTCAAAGTTTTGTCAATTTTAAATTGGGTTGTCTTTTTATTGGGCAGTTGTAGGAGTTCTTTATATATTTTGGATACTAGACCCTTATAACAAACATTTTCTCCCATTCTGTCAGCTGCCTTTTTCTTTTGATAGTGTTCTTTGACACACAGTATTTATTTAAAAAAATTTTTTTGAGTTAAGGTGCTGCCATGTTGGCCAAGCTAGCCTTGAAGTCAAGATCTCCCCATCTTGTCCTTCTGAGTAGCTGGAATTATAGGCATACATTATCACTTCCACCCAAGTGTATGATTTTGATGGATTTCTGTTTCTTTCTTTTGTGGTTTGTACTTTTGGTATCATGTTTAACTGCTAACTCAAGAATATGAAGATTTATAGTAACTATGTTTACCTCCAAGAATTTTACATTTTCACATGACATTTAGGTCCCATTTTGAGTTAATTTGTGTATGTAATGTGAAGTAGGAGGTCCAACTTTCTTCTGCATATGAATATGTAGTTCTCCCAGTACCATTTTTTTTGGTTTTTTGTTTTTGTTTTTGGTACCAGGAATTGAACTCGGGACCTTGCACTTTTAAGGCAGACACCGGAACCACTGAGCAAAATCCCTGGCCCCCCAGTATCATTTATTGAAAAATCTATTCTTTTCCTATATGCTGTTAAAAGTCCTTGTTGAAAAATCAACAGACCACATGGACTTAGTTGTGGAATCTCAGATCTTATATTATTATACAAATATATTTTTGGTTTATAATTAAAAGATTTCTTAATAGGTGTACTCCCTAATTTTAAATCATCTAATTGACTTAATAAGCCTACAATACTCAGAGTTATATTTATTACTAAGTTTCAGCAGAAAGCAAGAATTTTGAGTTTCTATTTGTTCTGGCATCTAAAAGTTGAGGAGATAAGAAGGCTGCTTATATTGTAATATACCCCAGGTCATTTCAAAATACTAGATAAAGCCCGGCCTCATGGTGTATGCCTGTAACCAGCTACTTGGGCAGCTAAGACAGGAAGATCACAAGTTCAAAGCCAGCCTAGGCAACTTAGTGAGATCCTATCTCAGACTAACATAAAAAGGGCTGGAGATACTGGTCAATGGTAGAGTGCTTGCTTAGCAAGTCCAAGGCTCTGGGTTCAATCCTCGTTACTTAAAAAAAACACAAAATACTTCTTTAAAATGTTTTATAAATACATGGTATCCACACAATTATAATTATTGACATTAGAAAGAAAATATTTTTTTTTTTGGTACCGGGGATCGAACTCGGGTCCTTGTGCTTGCAAGGCTAGCAGTGGAACCACTGAGCTAAATCCCCAGCCCCAGAAAGAAAATATTTTAGATTCAATACGCAAACAATTATCTTAGGATTCTTTCTTTGGTACTGCATATCAAACCCAGGGCCTTGCATATGTTAAGCACCTACTTTACTGCTAAGCTACATCCTCAGACACAGGAAACTAATATTTTAAAAAAAGACAATCAACATGTTATTACTGCCTTCCTGTCTAATTTAATTTCCCATCAGTCCCTGCATACAACTTGTGCTTTACACTTATCACGGAATTCTACTTCCTCAGGAGATCTAAGCTCTTCTCTCTCCTAAAGTCTTGGAAAATACTTCTTTTTATGTAATAGGCAACAATTTACTCTAGCGTCTCTATTTTTATATAACAAATTTCCTGCACGTAAGCAGGTGTTTATGCCTAAGCATTACAAGGAAGACTTTCAAAAAGACCTTAAATTTTCATACAAATTGAAGGGAATGTAATGAAGCAGAAACCAATGTAACAAAATGAGAGGCAGAAAAATAATATATTTAATAAGCAGCTAAACATTTTATTTAGTTGCTGGGGACTGAACACAGGCTCCACATGTGCTCATTGAGCTATAGCCTCAGCCCTGACAAAAAATGCACAAATCAAATTTATCAGTTAATATCAAATAGGGGCCGGGGATTTAGCTCAGTGGTTCTGTTGCCTGCCTCAAGAGTCCAAGGACCTGAGTTCAATCCCCAGTACCAAAAGAAAAAAAAAAAAAAAATCAAATAGAGAATTTGTAGAAAAGCTAGACTTAATTCTCCCCCCTGAAAGGTTAGAGTGGTATCTTTAACTTTGTTTTTTGCCTATGGTGCTTGCCTAGGACATTCTCAGCAAAAAGAAGCCACACAATATTTGTTAGGTAAAATGTTGCCCTGCAGCAAAGAACGGATGGAAGGCATGGTATTTCTGGCTGTCCTCTGAATCATCTATAAACATTTAGAATATTTCTATGTAAGGCTGTTCACAAGTAGTTGTACAAAAATATGATCGATTCTCTCACTCTTAGCCAAATTGCAGGTTTAGAGACCTCATTTGGCAAGGAATAATTTAGCCCACTTTCCTACAATTTAAAGAATTTCCAGAAATGAGAGTGATGGCCTGGGACATGTTTTAAAAATGGTACAGTTGGAGACTAAATTCTAAAAAAAAAAAAAAGTTTCTCTGTTTCAAACTTTATGAAAATAGCTATTGTTTAGGGCGTCTTTCTTGATCCAGTTATCTGGTAAAAATTTGGGTGAACATGGTGTGTCAGGCACCATTCTATGCACCATTTATATAGCAGTGGATAAATAGAAAGTCTCTGCCACCATACAGCTTACATTAATATTAAAAATTTAAAACTATAAATAAAAATTATTGATCTACTTTAAAACTCAGTACCAAAAAATTAAAACATTGTGTTGAAATACAAGAATTCTCCAATATCTTAGCAGCAGTTACTTGCAAGTTTACATTATTAAAAAAATCCATTTATTTATATAAATAAATAAATATATTTATGAACAATAGTGTTGTTCATTGTAAAATTGTGTATTAAAAAATTCCATATTGTCCACTACAACAAAAAATGTAAGATCTGATATTAACATTTGTGCAAAAGAAAAGAAAAGGTGACACATTTCTTGTTTTAAATCAAAGAAGTAACAATTACAAAAAAACACAAAATTTTAGCTCTGCATGATGTGGCAGAAGCTAAAGGAACCAGGTTTGCTAAAGTAACTGTGGTGGCTACTGAGGTGTATCCCAGTATAGTATACCAGTTACTGCATTTTTTATTGATAACCTAAAGAAAAGAGCTGCTTTTTGACTTTTCGTATTTAAATTTTTCAATGAAATAAAAATACTTATATAAGCATCTAAAAAAGAAAACAATGTGTTTTCTCTATTTGTGTTGTTTAAAATGAGTCATTTATTGTATTAAATAGCATACATTCTATTAAATCATGAAATTACCTTATAGTTGGGTAAAAAAAAATAGTAAGATTTTTGGAAAGGAGGAAAAGAAGGAGTTCTTTAAATATAGTGTGACAAGATTAAAGTCAGGAGAAAAGTGCATTGTATTTTACATACACAAAGTCACTTGAAGTCATGGGATATGATTCAGTGAACACCTGTGCCCACAACATTGAACTTGGGAAATGATTAAGACACACAATTTCCTATGCAAGTACAAGTAAATATAAAACACAAGAGCAAATGTACACAGGGGAGTATAAAATACAAGGAAGACTATGATTATCTCTGTCACAGAAGTCTAAAGTGTCCCACAAGTAATGAACTGCCACTCATTTGTATTAGTCTAAGTCCTTTATATGTTTAATCCTCTGTGCAAACCTATAGAGTAGGCATTGGTATTTCTGCTTCACAACAAACACACTAAGCACCAGGAAAGTGAGGAAACTTGCCTATGATCACAAGTATTAGAAGGAGTCCATACACATGCACCATGCCATGTTGCCTTCTATTAAGTGAAAGAGAATAAATCCAACAGGAGGACTCTCATAAGGCTTTTAAAGGAGGAATAGGACTCAATGAACAGGATTCCAAACAGCAAAATTAGACCACAGGCAATATAATTCCAGGCAAAGGAAACAGTCTGATAAATGCCAACGAAGTAAGAAAGTGCAATGCATGGTTCAGGGAATGGCAAAATGGCACCCAAGCTGGTGTGGCTACAGCACAGGCTGAAGGGAAGGATGTGAAATACACCTGGGAGACAATGCACCCTAAGTGACAAAGCACATATCTGGTCTGAATCCTGGATCTACTACTCATCCTGGATCTCATGTTACCTTGGAAAGTTATTTAATCTCACTGAGCCTTGGTTTCTTCAACTATAAAATGAAGCAACACCAGCTACTTCACAGGGTTGCTATGAAGATTAAATGAGATGGACACATGACCACACATTTGGTCAATCATCAGTTGCTCCTGCTCAGCATCTCGAGTAAGTGGCACAAAACAGAGAACGTAGGGAATTCATTCTGGTGGTGGCAGTACAGGCTAAGCATTTCTAATCTAAAAATCCAAAATCTGAAACTTTTTGGGGACTGTTATCATACCACAAGTGGAAAATTTCATACCTGACCTCAGGTGACAGGTTACAGTCAAAATGTAGGCACACTAAAAATATGTAAAATTACCTTCAGGCTGTGTGTATAAGGTATGTAAGAAACAAAAAATTCATGTTTAGACCTGGGTCCCATCCTCAGGATATCTCATTATGTGTATGCAAATATTGCAAAATTCCCACCCATCCCCCCCCAAAATTCTGAAATCCAAAAGACTTCTGCTCCCAAGCATTTCGGATATGGGATATTCGACTTTAACATCTAATTGGGAAATCAGCTTGTCAAGTCTTCGATCATCTCAAGCAAAAGAAATCCCTCCTTTGTTTTGACAACTTTGTTCAGACAGGTACAATATCAACTCAGAGTCATTATTCACAATGAAATCATCAACTTCCTTGAATCCCCGTCAACCGTGCTTATAATGACCTCATACTCACACAGCAACATTTTTCTGGTGTTTTTCAGCCATCCTTTGTTTTTCTTCCTCCTCTTTTTTTTTTTTTTTTTGTCATATCTCTGTTTAGATTTTATTCTTTACTTTTAAATCCATAAAGCTCTTTTGAAATAGCTAATGAAAAAGAGTCATATTGGGCAAGGCCATAGCCATGTTCCAAGTTATCAGAGACTCTTCCTGCTTTGTTGCTAAAGTTCTTTATCTGTAAGCTGTTCTAGCCTTTGCCTTTTTGTACAAAAAGAAATCAGGCAGCTAACAGATGACTCACAATTTGCTCTTTCCTCCACCCTGCTCACCAAGGGCCTTATCTATATCCTTTCATTCTTAGCTCTACCTTCCTTGATATCCCTTGGTGGCAGCAAGGTCCAAGCAAGCATCTGTCGCATTGTTCCAAAGAAAGAATTGCTGGAGTTGTCCCTTAGAGAGTGTGCCCTCCTCCTATGAGGAGGCACCTTCTGCTGCAGGCACCTTTTTTCCCAGCTGTCCCTCATGATGTTACATTGCTGCATTTGGCAACTCTTCCTCATCCTATTCTTGTTTCAAGTTCTAAGAGCATCTAAATTTTGTTAAAGTTAGAGTATTTGGCCAGGTGTGGTGGTGCATGTCTGTAATTCCAGCACTCAGGAGGCCAGGCACGAGAATTGTAACATGTTTGAGGCCAGTTTGGGCTACAAAGTGAGTTCAAGGCCAGTCTGAACTATGTAAGACCCTGTCTCAAATTAAAAGCAAACGAAACCAAAACAAAACAAAACACCCACCAAAAGCAAGCTAGCTAGCTAGCTTACAGCCTTCCTTTCTTTTTTTTTTTTTTGAGACGCTGTCTTGCTATGTATTCTAAGCTGGCCTTAAACTTACTATGTAGCACAAGCTGGTCTGGAACTCACAGGAAAGCCTCCTAAGTGCTGAACTACAGCAATGCTCCCTCATGCCTGGCTTGAGTATTTTTTTTATCCTCTTTACTGTTCTGAATTGATTTCCAAAATTAAAAGACATTAGACATCTTAATTCTACCTCCTATAATTTTTTTCCCCATTAAGTTTATTGGTACGTTTTAGGTATAAAATACAGTTATATTCACCATTAGGATGTTGTACCTTAACATGATGTATCTTGGTTCTTATTTTTTCCCCTTCCCCTGCCCTCCCTTTCCTATTTGCAATACCTCCTATAATTTTTAATGGTGCAGCAATCTAATGTTTTAGAGATTAACATTGTCCTAATATATGTAATATCTGCCTTCCTGTACTGTACCAAAACATCTATGATTCTAGGTGTATGAGTAAGAAGAGTATTATGTTTGTTTTTCAGCAGGGGGTGCAGATATATTATTAACTTCTCAGGACACAGAAGCCATTTGTCCGTACTGGTACTTCTTAGGAATGATTTGGGAAAGACTTTTAGAGGCATGTTAAAAACAAGTTGACCATTTTAGCCTTATAAATCATTTAATATGTGTAGACTGATGAACCAATAAACAAATTTCATACATTGCTGTTACTAAATAAAAGCATTAAAATTTGGAAATGAAAAAGTTCTCACCTGGATCTGATTCCGCAGCTGCTCTGCTTCCTGCCTCAACTGTTCCAGTTCACTCATCCTTTCAATTTGTTTAATTCAGGGATCACCAAAGGAAAGCAACTGTTAAAAAAGAGGGATGGAGAGATTCAGTGTTCCATCTGCATCTTAATCTGCTTATAAAATACTGACATATAACTTTTTAATTCTTCTGAAACTCAAATGAAATAGTCAATTGTTACTGGAACTTAAAGTTGGTTAGAAATATAGATCTAGATTATTCAGAGAAGGTTTTATAGAGGAACGCGGACGGACATTGGCAATACCAAAAATCAAGTCACTTATGTCAAACCCTCACAAAATAGAGTCAGAGGCCATGAAAGAGGAGCCCTCCACAAATGCTAATGAAGGAACCATTTCAGGAATTCCTCAAAAGCACAGTATTTTAGATGAGCCATGTGTGCATGGAAACTTGCCCAATCAACAACTGCCTCACACAATGAGTTAAATGCTACTCCTGCAACAAGCCTCAGTAATCAACGGTCTTTGTTTCAAAACAATCTACGTGAGCGTGTCCCTTTTTTCTTTTAGGTTTCCCTTGCCCCAACCTCCTCTGATGTATCTATGGTACCCCTAAAGCATATATATTTACTATTCTAGGGGACAAAAAACCACCTTTGTTTTGGAGACTTGGTTATTTCATTCATTTTAGGTTTTCAGTGATCAGAAGATGGAAGCAAAATCTTGAGTTGAGTATACACTTCATCTTAGCCAAAAGGCCAAGAAGCGATTGAGTTGAGTATATAAGACTGGATTATAGGAGTCAGAACTACTGGAGACCCTGCAGTTAGGTTCCAGTCTCCTGCCCAGTATACGACAGAGGCCTGAGAAAAAAACCAAAAGACAGAACTAGGAGAGAAGGCAGGGTGCCAGGACGACCAATGCCTGTGCAACCAACAAAGGTGATGGCCAGTCCAAGACACTGATTTTTATTGGTAATCAATTGGGGTAAAGATGAACTATGTGTGAAGATGGGCAGTTGTGCAGTTTCTGTGGAAATTAATGTCTAGTTGATCTATTTGTGACAGTGTAAATACCAAACAGTTTCTCTAGTGTGAGAAACTGAAAGTGTAAATAAGGACTAAAAGGTATAATAGATAATGTGAAATAGGAAGAAAAGGAGCAAAGGGGAAGGGGAGTGGGAGGGGTAGGGGAAAGGAAAAAAGGGAATGGACTTAATATGGGAAAATGGCAACACTTTGTAAATAGGGAAGGATGGAGGATTGAAGGGAGGGCAGGGGAATGGGGAAAAAATAAGAGCCAAGAGAGATTATGTAAAGGTGCAAATTTCCAACGATGAATGTCATTATATTGTATACCTAAAATGTACCAATAAAATTAATTTTATAAAAGAAACTAATGTAAGCAAGGCTCGTGAAGGCCAAAACAAAGCGTTCTCGAATTAGGAACAGAATAGACAAAATATATGGTTGTAATTAGAACACTGTCCTTCTAGAAGGCTTTAGTTATGGTAATGGAATTTGGGTGCTAGTTACACTGACTTTGGCGCAAAGGCTTTGAGCAGACTCACTTCTCAGAACAAGCCAATTGTGGGGCTAACTCTTCACAGCCTGCACTGCTTACAGCCTGCTTTGCGCATAATCAATATTACAGTCTCCCACAAGAACTATATAGGAGTCCAGAGAAATACTTTACAATAGCTCAAAGGGAAGCAATATACATCTCCACTTGGATGTCTGTATATGCACCTCAAACTTAGTACTTCAAAACTGAATCCCATCTTATTTACTTTTAAATAATTTCTGATGCTTAACCTTTTCAAAATACGTGGTTCAAACAAGGTGAAGAAACAACAACCAAATCCCACCCCACCTCCGAGGATTCCTTATTTCAGTAAACGGCAATTCCATCCTTCAACCATTTAAGCTGAAAATCTTAGAATCTTCCTTAGTATCTGTTTCTTTCCTACCTTTTCCACCTAATCCATCACCACATTATGTCAATTATGCCTTTAAAACTTATCCAGGATCTGACCAATTCTGATTACTTCCACTCTACTACTTTGGTCTCACCTGGTCTCCTTAAAAACTGCCCTTAACCACTCTTCAGTCACGTTAAAATACTGTGCAGTATAGCAAGTGGTGATGCTTTTAAAATACAAGTCACTCTACTTGCCTTAAGTCCACTCAGAGTAAAGCCAAACTCCACTACAGAGCCGTGCACAATTTCTCTCTTAAATATCTACCCTGCACATACATCTGACCTCCTTTTCCCTCTCTCCACCTGCCTTCTTTCCTCCAGCTACTTAAAGCTTTCTTGATGATTCTTAAACACACAAGGAAGGCTCCAGTCTTGTTATCTTTGTGTTCACTGTTCCCTCGGCTTGGACCACTCTTGCCCGATATTTTCATTGCTTGTTCCTGATGTTGCTCAAATGTTACCCTCTCAGAGGTGCCTTTGCTGATAGCACACATGTACCCAACCACTCTCCCAACTCTAGGCCACCTGCCCTGTTTTATTTTTCACTGTAAGAGTCAACACTATTGAGTATGTATTTACTTAAATTGTGCTCTGTTTCCTCCTGATAAAAATGTAAGCTCACTGAGGCAGGTTCTTTGCTATTCTTTGTTACATGCCCAGCACTTAAGATGCCTTGGTCTCCAGTAAATAAGGTTCCCTGAAACAGCTTAAGAAATAAAGGAAAATTCATTCTAAAGAATTAGGATAAACCACAGAACCAAAAGGAAGGAATATTACTATTTCAGGAGCAGATTAGAGACTCTCTTATCATTGTCTTTTTTTTTGGTACCAGGGATCGAACTCGGGTCCTTGTGCTTGCGCAGCAGGCGGCGAAACCACTGAGCTAAACCCCCGGCCCCTATCATTGTCTTTTTACATCTTATTTTTCAAATCAGGATTCAGTTAAGGACTACCAATACATTTTCTCATTATTCTCTAAGGCTCTCCATCTAGAAGTATCCTTTTCTTGCTTCTTTTTCTCTATGATGCTGATTTAAGAGAGACTGAGACACTTGTTCTTAGGATGTCCAACATTGGGTTACCTTGTTTATCCTCTATACTGCCTATAACCTGAAAGTTACATCTGGAAGTTAGAATATATTTAGGTTCAAGACATGAATTTGGCAAGAATCCTAGATGATGCTACCTCTTCACACTACAGTGCATCAGAATGAACTTCATGTTGTGACCTTATTAGTGAAGCTAATTTTGGTCAGTGTGTTCTGGTGTTAATAGTGTAATCTTTCTATTATAATGTTCATCACTTTCATCCAGCAAATAATCTGTGAAGAGCCTCTGGTTTTCAACTGGATCCCTACCATCAGCAGTTAAACACACCCAAGTTGCCCCCTTGTATGTGGGGTGGGTGTGTGTGTGTGTGCGTGCTGGAGGTATGATTCAAGTGGGCTCAGGTACAGCTCACACTGGCAGTAGACCTTGGCATCATCCATGTACTGCTTTTTGAATGTAGGAATTATAGGATCATGTCAGCTTCCACCAGATTTTAAAGGAAAACTTCAGTGGCCTGGCAATGTGCTGTGAGGCCAGAGTTATACAGGGCCACATATAATGGAGATGTGGGAATAAATTTGCAGTGGAGACTCAAAGAAGGGAAAGATACCAGTAAATGTGCAGTGCTCAAGTGGGAAAGCTGCAAGCAGCATGCAAAGCCCACCCAACAGAGTGCCCGTGGGGGCTAAAACTTCCACCAAGGCTAGAGGAAGAAGCTGCAGAAGCTCTTTGGAGCCCACATTCTGCCATTACTGTGCATCGGATGCCAGATGTGGAGCTTTAGGATTTATTGTTTGCCCTGCTGGATTTTGTTCTCCTTAATATTTTTCTTATTCCTGCCTTTTGGAATAAGAGTGTTTACCCTGTACTGCTCCCACCACTGTACTTTGGAGGTATGTAACTTTCATTTTGAGTTTTATAGTGGCTCACAGTTGAGTGTGCCTTGAATCTTGGAAAAGACTTGGACTTTTAAACAATGCTGGAACAGTTAAGACTTTGGGAACACTTGGAGACGGAGTGAATGCATTTTGCATTGTGCAATGCATATGTACTTTTGAGGGTCTGGGTTGGAATGATATGGTTTAGGTAGGAGTCCAGGATGGTGCTGCTGGGAGGTAGTAAAACCTTCAGGAGATGGGGCCTTCTGGGAGATCCTTAGGTGTGGAGACAAAATAGGCCCTAGTTGTCACTCACTCCTCTCCACCTCTATCTGGTCGATTTTTTTTTGGTACCGGGGATCGAACTCGAGTCCTTCCACTTGTGAGGGAGGTGGCAGAACCACTGAGCTAAATCCCCGGCCCTCTAACTGGTGGATTTTGATACCACAGGCCCCAGAAAGAAATCATCCAAACACAGGGAGAAATTTTTGTACTTTCTTTCTTTGGTTTTTGTTTCTTTTTTCCTATCTTTCATGCTCTTTATTTTGGTTCCTTTGTATTTTTCTTGTTTTGCCTTCTCTATTACTTTTACTTAATTCTACTAACTTTTTAAAATTCTTTTTTTTTTTTTGGTACCAGGGATCGAACTCAGGTCCTTGCGCTTGCAAGGCAGGCGGCAGAACCACTGAGCTAAATCCCCGGCCCAAGTGCTACATCTTTTTTTTTTTGGTACCGAGGATTGAACTCAGACCTTGCACTTGTGAGGCAGGCGGTGGAACCACTGAGCTAAATCCCCGGCGCCTAAAACTCTTTAACAGAATTGTTACTTCACTTTTCTCTCCCCTTTCTCATTTTCCTTTTCTCTTTTTCAAATTTTACTTCTTTTACTTTCTCTTTCTCCACTCCTCCCATCATTATTAATATTAAACTCCAGTAATTTTTAGCTATCATTTGACTCTATGCTGTTAATGCTGAATTATTTTCTACTTTTTTTTTTTTCCCTTTGGTACCAGGGATGAAACTCAGGACCCTGCGCTTGGCAGGCAGGTGCTGTGCCTCTGAGCTACATCCCTTGCCCTACTGTTTGGTTTTTGAGACAGGATCTCACTACACAGTTCAGGCTGACCTGGAACTCACTATGTAGCCGAGACTGGCCTAGAACTTGTGATCCTCCTGTCTCAGTCTCCTGAGCAC